AACCAAGCACCATGCGACTATTATTCCTTTAGAAAGTAATTTGGCCGAATAAAAAGCCCCCACAAAAAGAATGAAATTTTTACCTTCTTCATCGTAAATTACTTGGTTGATAATGATGTTATGTGTATCGATCTCGAATTTCGTGAGCTCCTGTACAAGGCGTTCTGTTTCGTAAAGAGAAAGGAATTCTGGGATGCAGACACAGACGAATGTTGTCAAATCCTGCCAAAAAAAAAAAATGCAATAATAATACATCAACAGAAATTTTTGAAAACCCCATCAAAATGGGAATTCAAGCTATTATACAAACATGAAATCGTAATATTCTCCTACAATGATATCTCATGACCAATGTAGATTTTGATTTACCGAGTTATTTCACATTAAAGTAGCTTCAGAAGCAAAGGAAGAAAATTATTACTCAATTATTTTTCTTTCACCGAACATTTCTTGATTACATGCGATCAAAGCTTAATCACCAACACAACCCATCCTGTACTTTTTAATCCTTCAACCAATATTTTCATAAAAGTACCTTTTCTTATTTATACTCACCAGCTCCATATTTTTGTTATTAGCACATCCCAAGTAAAATCTGGTACTACTTAATTTCAAAATAGCAGCCACGCAAATCATGGCAACCTTAATGAGTTGCAAAGGAAACAAAAGCTAGCTGTGAAGTAACAATGAGAAAACAGAAATATAAAAAATTATCTTACTGGATCCTTGAACTGCTCGTTCACTTTTTCAATCACATCTTTCAGGCCTTCAAGCTTTCCAAGGATAGCATCCTCACCGAACTCTTCTTCAACACCAAAGAGACGGGTCATCTGCCATGAAATGGTTGGAAGCTAAATATCTTCACACCAAACAAACGTGCTCGACAATTATAAGAAACTAAGGGCGTGCTTGAATACAAATATATTCGCTCAAAACGAGTTTTTTTTTTTTGGTTAACTAGAGTTAATTTTGAAAAAAATGGGGATGGTTAGTTGTTAGTGGGATTTTGATGTTACATTAAAATAATATTTAAAATAAAATAACTAAAATTGATTTGATGTAAAAGTAGGAGAGAGATGATGTGAAGTGATACTTAGTTAAAATCATGTGAGTGGATAAATAGTAAATTAAAGTTGATGTGATCTGTAAGAATCATTGGTTGGTATTATTTAATAATATTGATAACATTGAAGATTTCAGTTAAAGTTGAGTTATATTTTGAGTATGAATTGAGTTTTTTGATATACAAACACACCCTTAGCATCTGAATAATGGATTGATCCAAAATTTGTCCACGATACATGTTTTAAGCAATGATCCAAAACACTTAGTTATGATCAGTAGCAAGTCTCCATTTATAATATGCACTTAAAGAGGCAAATCCAATCGCCACCCTATGAATGTAACACTCATTGCATCCAAAGTAAAATTGCAAGTGAACAATAAGCTGTACCTGGCTCAACAAGCCACCAAATCTATTCTTCAAACTCATGACCTTGGAAAGTCCTTTTTCTAATGTTGAAGGAAACTGTAGCAGCCGTAGAGTATGGCCAGTTGGAGCTGTATCGAATACTATGGTGGAATAATCCATAGTTTGCACTAGCCTGAAAGAAGGTGTCTATCGGTTCAAGTTTTGGACATTGGAATGAATATTCAAATAAAATATATTGGTCATACATAACAATATACAAATCAACCAATTCTTCACTGCGTTAAATAAAAAAAGTGATGATGAATATAAGTCTGGAGTATTCACTCTCAACTTAGAGGCTAAAAAATTGTAACTGAAATAAGACAGTATGAAAGAGATATCAAACAGTTATTAGATACTACAAAATAAATTCAATCTTTGGAAAAGAAAAAAAGGAAAAGAATGTATTTCTAAACAAATATTACGTTCGAACTGTATACCAATTATTATAAAATTTTACTTCCAGGAAGAGAGTCTAAGATTTATTTAGTCAAGAAAGTGGACACAAGTGTTCAACTAACTCGAATTAACAAATGTACAAACAGTCAAAACAAAGTTTTTTTCAGGCTAAATCCAACCAGTGACATCAATAAATTGCCATCAAACACTTATCAAGCTTACTTGAGCATTTCAGCAAAACTCATAGCCTCATCAATTCCTGGGATTGAATTTGCTAATTCAGACATAAAACCATCAGTAGCATCCGAACCAAGACTGTCTTCATGTTCCACATTCGGATCAACTTCCTAGAAATCATATTTGCAACCATTAGCACTCAATGATATAGATAGAATATCTTGTTCAAATGGCAATGCATGCATCAATTATCACACAAAAATTCGGCTATTAAAGCTTGCCTTTCTAACATCCACAATAACTAGATGAAATAATAATGGCATACCCCTAATCTATCAAACCTTATTCAAATCAATGGCACTTGATTCAATTCCACTGACTGTAACTCTCAGTTCCACACAAAGCAAATTCAAATGTGATAGCAACAATGGAATGAATGTCTATAAGATGTACGATTTACAATTCTTCAAACGATCCATACTAAAACCTTTCCACCAATCAGAAGACTGCCAACCAAACAACACCTCTACACATCTCAAGCCGAACGCACATACAATTATCAATAAGAAGATCTAAAAATAGCAAAACAAACTCAATGAACAACAGAAAATACTAGTGACTCCATGTTTCCACAACTAAAACCTCTCATATTCAAAAGCCCTTTTACAAGAACAACCCATTAGAAACCATTATCACATCTTGAACCAACTAAACACAACCCACCCACTTGATAAACAAAACCCAGAACACTAAAAAGAAAACCAAAACAAAATTTCAGCAAACAATTAGGGGAAGCCACCATACCATGGCGTACAGGTTGGAGAAGCCATTGACGAGGGTCGGCGTCTTGGTGAACTTCTGCTGAAACGCATCGCTCAGGTTATGCGCGGGGTCGGTGGAGATTATGAGCACGGATTGGCGCACGCGCGCGAGGAGTATGGACAGTATCGAGCTGCAGGTGGTCTTGCCCACGCCGCCTTTGCCGCCGACGAAAATCCACTTGAGCGAGTCCTGGTCAAGTATGTTCTGAACCGTGGCCTCCGGCAACTCGTCGTTTGAACCCATCGATCGGTACGATTGGCTCCGGCTACTGTTTCACCGGAAAATATTCCAAGCTTGGTGTTTCGGATTTGTTGGTTGAGTTGGGGATCGAAGCAAACGGCTGCGGTCGTCTTTGCTTGGGAGGTAGGAGATTCTTGAACGGCAAAGGACTGATTTTTGACTGTATATAAAAGTAAATTTGAAGTAAGGTAAGTAACATTTGAGAATTTAATTTTGCATAGGTAAAATTTTATAAATAAACCAGAAAGGTTCTTAAATTAGATTGGGGTGTATTCAATTGAAATTTAAGTGATATTTTAAATTTTTTTAAAATTTGAGACTGTGTAAGATTTTCAGATTTTAAAAGAATTTTATTAAATCTTAAGTCCGGAGTTAGGATTTGAAGTAAGATTTCGTATACGATTTTTTGTTTAGAAATCCCACCAAATCTTAAACAGTCTCAACAAATAGTGTCAAATAAATTAAATATTTCAAGATTTTGTAAGACTTTTAAAATCCCAATTCAATTCCCACGATTTTTAAAAAGTCTTAAAAAAATTTAACAAATATAAATTGAATACACCCGTATTTCTAAAGTCTTCAAAAGTCCTTATAAATCTTAATTAAATACATCCATCTCAATTTTATTTGGTTTGTAATTTGACCTTTTGCTATTTAATTACAAAATTTCAATTTTGTCGAATCCAAGCACGGGTTTAACAGATTGACTATCAATTTTTTTTTTTTATATCTACGAAGCGGTTAGATAATTTTGTTCGTCTTAACGAATCAAACTTGAATAATAATTAATTGATTGTTCAAAAAATAAAAGAATTATATAAACACCTCACATGAAGCCCAACAAAGGTTGGTATGATTAGATACCAATTATAACCAAAAAAACAATCACAATTCAAATTTTTCTCAATTTCAACTAAATTTCATTATTTTCAATATATCAATTTAATTAAATAATATCAATTAATCATTTTTGCACATCACGTTAATTTTAATTCAATGTTCATTCACTTGCATAATTTCAGCTATGTATCACTTCCAATCACCATTCTCCTACTTTTACATCAAAATAAATTTAATTATTGTATTTGAATATTATTTTGATACAAACTCAATATCCGAATCAAATCTAACTCAATTATTTTTTTTAAAATTAACTATGATTAACTAAAAATTCAATTAAAACTCAATCAAATTTATATCCAATCACCTCTTAACCAACCACATAAGGTTTGCTTCTCGTTTAAAATTCACACAATTTTAACTGCATATCACTTTCAATCACAATTTTTCTATATTTACATTAAATTAATTTTAATACAAATTGAAACTGAGAATCAAATCTAACTCAACTATTTTTATAAAATGAATTATAATTAACTAAAAAAACCAATCAAAACTCAATCAAATCTATATCCAATCACCTTTAACCAACCAGACAAGGCTCGTTTATCGTTTATAAAAGTAGCCGAGCTCGAGCAGTGTGAATCATCAACACCTATTATATTGCGATATATTAAATCTATATATATATAATTGCTAGCTAAACAATAAATTTTACCTAATCAATTTTACCTATGTGGCAAATCATTAATAAAACCTAATAAATAGAACCTAATAAATTTTATTTATGTGGCATTAATACACTCAATCTCATTAATAAAAAAATATTTCATTACATTTTTTTTTGGTTAATTAAGACAAAAACCATTATATTTTATGTTAATTGATTAATAATTATATTTTTTATTGAATAATATAATAGTTAATATTAAAATTAGTAATTATATTTTATACTAAATAATATATGAAAGTTACATAAAATTATATTTTACACTAAAATTAATATTTTTTTATATGATGAAGATGTTTATTAATAAATTAATTTTTTTATGTCATAGTAAAATTTCTTAAAATCACATAAGCAAATGTTATAATAAATGTAATATTTTTCAGCTAATTAATTGGTCATGATCACTCAAAATTACAAGAAGTATATATTTATTATATTTTATGCAATCAATATAGTGATTCGTATACAATCAAATCGTGTGTACTATTTATTTTAACCAATGATCAATTTTAAAATATAATACTATTATATAATTTATAATTTTAATATTATATACATAAATATAACTTATAATACTATATGTTTGAAATATAATACAATTATATAACTTATATTTTTTATATTATATACATAAATATAACTTACAATATTTAATTTTATTTACATCAGTGTAAATATCACTGTAAATGCACAGCGTGGAATACTAGTTTTAGACTAAAGTATGGTCATCTCCATTTATTAAAATCTGAAACTTCGACTGCAACCGTTTTTTATCCCTAGTTCTGCAGCTTCACAGCAATGACGACGGATTTGAAAGAGGCCAAGCTCGAGCTTTTCCTTCAGTGGCTGCAGGTCCGCGAGAACTTTCTCTACAAGCAAGTTGCTTCAAGTTACTAATTTGTTTTCTGTTTTCATTATTGTTACAATTTTATGTATGGCGCTTGAATTCAGGTGAACGGAGCTCAGCTACGAGGATGTAAAATCAAATACTGCAGTCGTAGTAAACGGTTTGGGATTTTTAAATCGAACGATGTGCCTGATGGTAATAATAAATGGGTTTTTTACATTTCTGTAAAATTCAGTTCAATCAGTTTGCCATATAGTGAAAGTTTGGGATTTTCAGTCAGAAACTTTTCTGGGGTTTTGTATAATTACTGAAGTTGTGAACAAGCAGCTAAAAGAGCTTAATTTATTAAGTCATTATTTAGTATTTACATTATTTGTTTATTAGTGTATGCATAAATATATTCTCAGGAGTCCTTCTAGTGGTTCCTCTTCATTTGGCCATAACTCCCATGAGGGTACTGGAAGATCCTCTGTTCGGACCCGAATGTCGATCGATGTTCGAGGAAGGAGAAGTCGATGATAGATTCTTGATGATGCTCTTTCTGACCGTGGAACGACTTAGGAAGTACTCTTCGTGGAAGCCGTACGTAATAATAAAAAAATATATATATTTCACTTTTCTCTTGGTGCTTCATAGAATTGCGTGTGCAAATTTGGGTCGTTTATTGTAAGAAAATGTTATTTCCATATCGTAATCTCAGGTATCTTGATATGCTTCCTACTGAATTTGGAAACCCACTTTGGTTTACTGATGACGAGCTTACTGAGCTAAAGGGAACGACATTGCATAAGGCTACTGAACTGCAGGTTCAGTTTTGCTTTTAAAAAACTTATAAATCTGCTTATTGCTTCCATTTTGAAAATCTTGAAGTTGCACGTTGGCTGGCTTTTTCAGGTGATTAAATCTGTATTGTTGCTATCTTGTGAGCTATTTGGTAGTTGGTGATTGTTCATACGAGTATTGCTTTTTTAAAATTTGCAGACTATTTCTGTTTTTTACCTTCAGCATATGACTGAAGGCAAGGTTTGTGTTTACAGAAGAAAAACTTGAGGTCTCTATTTGATGAGAAGGTGAAGAAATTGGCAGAGAAGCTTTTGGCTCATGACGGTAATTCAGATAGGTGTGTGTGAGCTCTGTAAATTACATCCTCAAGTCAATTAACATAGAATAATATTCAATTTTGAAAAAGAACTTAACATAAATATGTTTTTGGGTTTAATATAGGACACATTTCTGCTTGTATTGGAACTAAGTGATACTGAATGCCGTATTTTAATTTTGACAGTGAAGTGAGATTTGAAGACTTCCTATGGTATGATTTGGACACACTCAATAATCAATACCCCAAATTTCCTAAAATCAGTCTGCAGATTTAAGACTTAAAAACCGCTGTTAATAATGGAGATGATTGGACATCCTTACAGGGCGAATTCCATATTTTGGACTCGGGCTCTTAATATTCCTCTCCCACGTTCTTTTGTCTTTCCGAGAGCTCAACTAGAACAAGACAGCACAACTATCAATGTTGCTAATCACGCCTTTACTCAAGATTCAGACAATGTAGAAGATGGAAAAGGTTAAATTGAGCCCCCAGCTGTAAATGATTTATAATTTATTCTTATATCTGAGTGTTTAACTCTGGTTTTCTATTCATAAACCATGTGGAATTTTCTTGATTAATCAGCTCCAAAAATAAACGAGTCCGCAAGTCAAGTTCCTGAAGCCCAGCCTGCTTCACAAGGAGGAGAAACTCTATGGGTCGAGGGTCTTGTGCCGGGCATTGATTTTTGCAATCATGGTAATCTGAGTATTTACTATGGTTGTGTTTGGTAAGCATATAAGTTAGCTTATAGCTTATTTGATTACCTTATAAGCTTCCTGGATTCAAATAAGCTTGGTTTGATAGGACGAGCTTTTTTTTAAAAAGGTCGAGCTTATCTCATAAACTTCCTTGGATAGCTTTTCAAATAAGCCCATTGAAATTTTTATTTCAGCTAGCTTATCAGCTAATTTTACCAACACTTTTAAGCTACCTTTTCAGCCATAAGTCATAAGCTATCAGCTATAAGCTTGAAATTCACTTAAAAGCTATAAGCTAGATTATCAACTATAAGCTAGCTAAACTTGAACTTGGTTTATAGTCCTATACATGGAAAATTGGTGATATTCTTATATAATTATGCAAAATCTATTGTCCAGACTTAAAGGCTGCAGCAACATGGGAAGTTGATGGAAATGGATCGACCACTGGAGTCCCTTATTCTATGTACCTCCTTTCTGGTATTTTTGTCGATTCATTTTATAATTCTTTTTTTACGCAAGAAATATATCTTTTAGTTATACTGTGCTATGTGCAAGTGATTTCTTTTTTCAGATGTGGTTCAATTAGAAAACTGGATTGACTTATAACTTTGCTTTGCATTGAACTTTATGTTCACTCTTGCTTCTTATATCTATCATTATTTACCTGGCTGAGTCGTACAGTTGATATTAGTAAGGGCTTAGGCTATAACTGTTTACACATAAAGCACTTTCATTATTACATGCCACAAGTCCAAGGTATTTACATGATTCTTTGATTTTTTATTTTTCTAACCAGCTGGGGATCTCCAAGCTGGGAAAGAGATATCCATCAGTTATGGTAACAAGGGAAATGAGGTATGCCCTCAGTTATTTCATGAACAATTGTGTTGTCTAATGCTTAAAAGGATATTGACAATGCCCGAAATTCCTTTATCTTTAAAGAAAAAATGGATCTAGAGAACCGAGCTAGCTTTTTCTGCTAGCCGTGTATAATAATAAACGTCTGTCATTAACTCTTACAAGCTTGGAGTGTAGACCATGTGTTCTTTCAAGAATCAGATATTATAGGATTTATTATGTATCAATGTGTTTCTATTTTCTAAGTTTCTAACCATTGTTCTTGCAGGAACTTCTATACCTTTACGGATTTGTCATTGAGAACAACCCAGATGACTATCTTATGGTAAACAATCATTCATCGGTTTCTATAGTTCTTTTATCAGTAAACTTGGTTGAAAACTCTACTGCTAAAAAAATATTCTTTTCCATTCTTGATGGCCCTCTCTCTCTCTCTCTCTCTTTCTCTCTGCTAGTCTCTTTCTCTCTCTCTCTCTCTCTCTGCTAGTCTCTCTCTCTCTCTCTCTGCTAATCTATCTCTCTCTGCTATTCTCTCTCTCTGCTACTCTCTCTCTCTCTCTCTCTCTCTCTCTCTCTTACACACAGACGCATACACACTCATATATTAGTTTCCATACTCATTCCAAAATTTTCAGATTCATTATCCCATGGAAGCTATTCCGGATTTACCCTTCTCCGAGACCAAAGTGCAGCTTCTTGAAGCACAGGTAAAAACTGAGTCTCCCATAGAACTCTTACCATACGCAGATGCATATGTGTGCGCATTCAATTTGTAGAAGTAAAGAAACATCGTCATGAATCGTAATAACCCGATTTTTTGTGTTTACAGAAAGGCGAGTTGAGGTGTCTCTTGCCTAGAAAATTACTAGACAATGGATTTTTTCCCGAACATTCTTCGCTCGAAGGAACTTACAACAAGAGCGCGAAGAACAATCTGAGTAATTTAAACTATAGTTGGAGTGGACAACGTAAAATGCCGTCATACATTAACAAACTCGTTTTCCCCGAAGATTTCTTAACTTCCCTGAGAACAATAACCATGAAGGAGAAGGAACTAAACCGAGTCTCTTCATTACTCGAGGAGGTGGCAGTTTCTTCTTGTCAGCATATTATTTTATATCTTTCAGCCAATAATATTATCCTTAATTTGTTTTGATCTCGTTATTTATTGCATTTTGAGTAATGCACAATGTTTTCTGAAGCTTGTTGGATCTGAAGGAGAGAGACAACCATCCGAAACAGAAGTTCGAACAGCTGTATGGGAAGCTTGCGGAGATTCTGGCGCTCTACAAATGCTCGTTGATCTTCTTAACATGAAGTAATTTTCTATTCTTTTCACCTTTACGTCTGTGAAAATTATCCTCAAATTTTTACAGTTCTCTATTAGTAACGACATTCGAAATAAATTATATCAAGAAGTTGAATTTATCATGTTTGGTAAACTAGGTGATAAGCTATCAGTAAGTTAGCTAATAGCTTATAAGTGACTTTCGAGCTTATAGCTTATGACTTATAGTTGAAAAAAACTAGCTTATATGATAAGAGTATTTGGTAAAATTAGCTGATAAAATATTCAACGTGCTTATTTGAAAAGCTACCCAAAGAAGCTTATGAGATAAGCTTGAGCTTTTTACAAAAGTTCGTCCCTACCAAACGAAGCTAATTTGAATACTGGAAACTTATTGCTAACCAAATAAACTAATAAGCTAGATTATTTGGTTACCAAACATAGCATTATTCTTCTTGCTTCCCCATTTATTTTTATGTACAAATAGGATGATGGAACTTGAAGAGGGTTCAGGCACGGAAGAAAATGATGCTGAATTACTCGAGAAAGTCCACATCAGAGAAACTTCAAATGAGGAAAGGTACGTACAAGAGTAAAGACGAGTCTTAACGATATAATTATTATTTTGAGACTCATGTCCTAAATACAGAAGAAGAATTTCGAATCACTCTACAAATCATCTAGCTATGTTGAGCTGGTGAATACAGAAAAAAACTTTCCACTGTCAAAATTTGTAAGGATACACAGAAAATTGTACTTGGCTCAACACGAAAACAAACCTATTCTTATGTTGATCAACTGAAGTACATCTCAATCAAATGTTGAAGAAACTGGAATATCTTTTTTCATTAATTTGCTGCAAATCGTTCAAAAACAGCTCAAAATGTCATTCCATGAGCAGAAATAAATGGGCTAGCATAGTATATCGGCTAGGGCAAAAACAGTTGGTTCGTCGTTTCGTGGCTGAGGCAGAACAAGCATTGCAGTTGGCATTGAGCGAGGATAACTAGAGTTCGTTTTGTATGAACATTGTCTTTTTCGAGTTTTTGGTTCATTTTTCTTTTTTTTGTAACATTTTATATATATTCAAATAATTACAATAAAACGTTCAATATGCAAATGCACTATAATGCATTTAGAATAATACTTCTTGCAGTGAGTAACCATAGCATTATATGAAGCTTATAACATTCCAAACTTCTGACTTAATAGTAAAAGCTTCTAGTTTTCATGTCCTTACCTTCAACTTGAGTTTTGTTTAGGTAATTACATATAAGAGTTTTCATTAAGCTTTTAGATATTGTGATATTTCCTGTAATTTTCTCCATGAGAGTCAATTTTCTAGAAATGTAGATAGAATAGTATATATTTTCCTATAATCTTCTCCATAAGAATCATTTTTCTGAAATTGTAAATTTTTCATTTTCTTGATGATTAAATACAAAATATCTACAAAGATAGCTGACCAAAAGATTGCATGTTCACCCTCTAAAATCTACTTATAGAAATGTCTAAAATCCACATTAAAAGACTGCCCATATGAAATACATTTATGAAGCAAAAAGTAATTTACCAACAAAATGTTCCTCTTCACACAAGTCATTGATTTCAACATATTGATTGACAAAGCACATAAAGATAACAACAAAAAAGAGTACTTGATAGAAAAAACATTATTCTTCCAAGCCAGCAACATTCCTTAGAGTCCAGCCGATACCATAAGCCGCACCACCGGCTATGGCTCCGTTAAGAAGGGTTATACCCATAGAGACGGCATAGTTTTGGCCTGCGATTTTCGCTTTGAGGACACCTAAGAGTACAAGTGCCAATGCAGAAAGAACACAAGCCCCGGCAAACTTAACCTTGTCGTTGTTTGTGAATGGGATGAGAATGATGAATGCGAGAATCGGAGCACATCCAAAGGCCATAAAGGCTCCGAAAGTGACGATCCCACTTTTCCACGGCTTGTCCGTCTCGTCTGGTGGTGTCATAAGTTTCTCGTCGACTAGTATGTGTGGGTACTTGGCGAACACGCTCACGACCTATATGAAACAAATGTAGTAAAAAGTAAAAATAACAATCCTAGCTAAAATTAGCCTTGTAAGTTTAGCATAATCGTCTAGAACGAGTTTAAGTCTTCTACCATAGCTAGGAATAAAGTTGCAATCTCAACCCTTGCTAGCTTATAAGATTGCAATTCAAATCAACAAGTTTTCACCACGATAAAACAATAAATAAATCGGCTAAGTTTCTTGTCGACTAGTACGTGTGGGTATGAGGCGAACACGCTCACGACCTATAGAAAACAAATGTAGTAAAAAACAACAATCCTAGCCAAAATTAGTCTCGTAAGTTTAGCAAAATCTTCTAGACCGAGTTTAAGTCTTCAATATATCCTAGCTAGCTAGGAGTAAAGTTGCAATCTCAACCTTTGTTGTCTAGCTTATAAGATTACATTTCAAGCTTTGAACAAGTTTTCACCACGATAAAACAATAAATAAATCGGGAAAATATAAAAATCAGTACCTACCGAGGCTGCATCATCAGCATTCATCCCGAGTGCTAGATAATGAGAGACTAACTCTTGTTGTTGAATCCTCCTATGGTTTTCAACATCCCATTCCGCCACGGACCTCTCCCTATTAGCCACGTCTCTTTCGGTGCTGCTCGACACGAAATCTCCGAACCCCATTGATATCCCGTCCGCCACAAGATTTGCAAATCCCAACACCAAAACATCAACTGCATATAGCACATTTTTGTTTAATTAAACATCATCATTACACTATGACCAAACCACATCTGCAAATTCTTGTGGCTACATTTGAGGATAGAAATTTGGTAGCATTTTTCGGATGAAAGGCGAAAACAATCTTAATTACTATCAAATGGTGGGAACATTTATGAAGAAAAAAAAATGTGCCATAATTTTTTTAAGAGTAATTTTCTTCACTCTATATGTAACTCTTGGCTAGAAATCTAAACAAGTTGCAAGAGATGGCATTTGAATTAATACAGAAAAAAATATTGATTTCTTGTTTCAAAATCGTATTTACGTTCATGTTCCATTTTGTTGAACAATTGACGCCTGTATAAATGTGACATCATCATGAACACGTGTCTTTCATTCTAAACATAAATTGAAATATGATTTTGGCATATACCAAAATTATATTTCAATTCATCGCTTATAATTATAGTGATGTAAAAGACCAAACTTTTCATATCGGTTGATGTTATAATATATCAAAAATAGATATGAAAAGTGTTTTTTTACCGCCGGACGACGGCGACTTACCGGAGGAAAGACGGCCGGCGGAGATCGATGAGATGAGGGAGAATGACGTCACTATGGCGTCAAGGCCCGCGTACACAATGCTCTTCACAAACTCTCCTTTCCATGGCTCTTTTGGTCTCCGTCTCTCCTTTTTCCCATTCATCAATGGCTGCAACAAAGGAACAAAACTATTATTTTTACTGTTAGTATTTTTGTTATTATTGTTATTTTCGCTGTAATTATCCATATTTTCGAATTTTTTCTTGTCTTTTTTCTCCTCTGTTCTTTCAATTTTTGTTATTTGAAATTATTAGCTATGTGATGTGATGTGATCATGTGAATAGTGATGAGGAAAAAAAAAAGAAAAAAAAAAGAAGGTATTTTTATCGTTTACTGCGGACGTGTCGCCATGCATGACGATAAAAGGACACATGGCGAGAGTCCATGTTGTTGGGAATTTTGAGGTGGTCAACGTTTTACTTTGTCACACGTGTCATCTTTTGATGTGCATTTGGGGCTTGTGGATGGCACACGTCCCATCGGTTGGACTACTGATCAGTACTACTACTGTGTGTTCTGACACATCTTGCTAGGTGTGTCAGGAGCAATTATGCGTTAATCACTCTCAAAAACTAAAAAAGTGAGAGAGTGTAGTACACATGTCACTTTCTTTTTTTTTTTTAATTGAAAGTGAGACATATTAGATATATTAAAATATTATTAATGATTTATATTAAAATAAAAAAATAAATATATCAAAATTCATAAATTTTTATTATCTATAAATAGAGACCACATTTGATAGGTTTTTTTGTTAGAATATCACTTGTGAGTTGTCCCACATCGTTCATATATAGAAAATAGACCCACCTTATAAGACTAATGGGCTACTCCTCCTTCCACCAATTGGTTTTGGGATGGAACCCCATCTGGGCTTCATATGGATTTTTCCCTTCTTTCATGGTGTCCTTCATGGTAGTGGGCCAGCACACTTTTTTCCCCAGTTTCTGTCATTTTTTTAACATAATTAATTTTTTTTTTCGTAATTAATTTATTATACTGACATAGGATGAACATGTTACATAATAAGATGAATATGTTATCAAATAAGATGAACATGTTACGGACATGTTCATCTTATGTTATAACATGTTCATCTCATTTTGTAACATATTCATCTTATTTTATAACATGTTCATCTTATTGTGTAAATATGTAACATGTTCGTAACATGTTCATCTTACTATGTAACATGTTCATCTTATTCTATAACATGTTCATCTTACTATGTAGCATGTTCATCTTACTATGTAACATGTTCATCTTATTCTATAACATCTTAATATGTAACATGTTCATTTTATTCTATAATATGTTCATCTTACTAAGTAACATGTTCATCTTATTATAGATCTGCGTCTTCATTTTTCAACAAAATAAATTAATTGTGAAAAATGATAATTAATTATATTCTAAAACTTATCAAATGTGGTCTCTATTTGTAGAGAATGAAAAATTATGAATTTTGGTATTTTTATTTTTATTTTTTAATATAAAATATGAATGATAATTTAATTTATATAATATGATATATAAAATTCATTATCCAATAGAAATGGGACACATGTTCCATTTAAAAGAAAGACTTACCTCACGCGTTTTTTGAAGGGAGTGTATTTTACAAAGGTCTTGGCACACCTAATTATTTACGCGTGCTGGTGGGCCCACAATTATGGCCCAAATGGGCCTTAGAAAAATTGATTCGGGTATGGTTGGGTCGTATCTATGGATAAAATACTGGGTAGTTAGTTAATTTTCTATATCAATTTTTGCTGTTTTATTTTTAGCTCTTAAATATTTAATACTCCGTCATATTCTCTTTTTAATGTCATTTTGTGCTTTAGCATATAGATTAAGAAATTTTTTCTTGTCAATATAAGCCTTATTCGAAGCAAATTATCATTAATTAATTTTTTTCCAGTTTGTTTATGTTTTTTCAACCTCTTTTGTTTTTGTATGAAAGTTATCATTTTAATATCAATTCTAACTAATGTATGCGATAAGCCATATTCATGTAACTCTACATTTAATTCATAAACATAACCTTAATATTAGTTTACCATGCATTCCAGGAATAACATTATTAACTTTATATATTAATACGCCACCACATTTTCAACAGAATTCACCTCTAAACATAACAGGATAAAACATTTACTTAAGTGCATTCATTATGCAAAAAAACTGAAAAGCTTCTAACACTATATATATATAGCTTTCAGACCAGAGGCTTATTTTCTTCATCCTCCTCATTTCCTAACTCAAATCTTTCATCTTCATTGTGAGAGGATGAAATTTCAATCCCGGGCCGAGAATTCAAGGCTACGGGCCGATTGGTGGGCTTGCTATCAGGCAACATCTTCAGTATAATCCCCATTGCAATCAGCAATAGCCCAGTCCCGTGTTGTTCGGTCAAAGGTTTCGTGAAGATCATGTACGAAAGTAGTAAAGTCACCGCCTTTCTAGCCGTGGTCACCTGTTAATTTTTTCGGTTAACCATGGTTAATTTTTAAAAAAAAAATGTGGTATGATTAGTTGTTAGTAGAATTTTGAGTTTATATTAAAATAATATTTAAAATAAAATAATTAAATGATGTGGAAGTATGAGAGAGATGATGTGAAGTGATGGTTAGTTAAAACTATGTGAGTGGATGAAATAGTGATGGATGTAAAAATAAGAATTATCGATTGACATTATTTAATTGTATTCATAATATTGAATACTGGGGTTGAGTTACAGCTTAGTTAGATTTTAAGTATGAACTGAGTTATCTTATATACAAACACACCCATCATTATTACTTTTTTTTTTTTTTCTAATTGAATCTTTCTACTTTCAAGCTACCTGAAAAGCATCGAAAAAAAATGAGAAAACAAAAACGAAAGGAATTAATTACCATGGCTGTGGTGGCAGCACCGAACAGCGCAATGAGCGAAAGAACCGAAACTTGCCCGATAAAAGTGGCCATGGCTTCAAAAACCAAGACTCCATACACATAAAGATGCTGCATTTGAAAGCAAATATAATCCGAGAAAATACTTAGATTTGGAATGTTTCGATTAAATAATTTGATTAAAGAACCCGAAAATGAAAAGAAAAAAAAGTAAGTCTTGTTCGATGTATACCTTCGAACACGAGTCCCATGCCTTAAACAGTTCTCCTGTAACTAACATAGGTGGAATCAAGAAAGGCATGCCTACCAAAGTCGAGCAGAAAAGCATTTCCGTCTGTGCACGATAAATTTCGATAAATAATGCTCTAAAAATTTACTTTCATGTAATTTGAAAAGATAATTATTTATTTCAAATTTTTACTGAGTAAAACCTGTGTTGTTTCAGGATTCATAGTAAAGATAGCTTCTTGCAAATTTCCTAAAAACGCGTCCATAATCAATGCACCAGATACCATCAAAACCCCAATTCCACTGAAATTCGGTGAAGTTTGGGCATCTGCTAAGGTGAAAAGAATAAGGCCCACCACCAAAAGAACTGCCGATAAGTATTCGTGAGGAGGGTATTTACGTCTCAAGCCCGGAATAAAAGCACCCATGATCATAACAGGCAAAACCTGATATATATAACCGAAAATGTAACTAATGAGATGAGAAAAATTACCATAGAGAAAGATAAGAAAATTAAATGGAACCACATTTTGGACCTTTGTGGATTTGAACATGAGTTGGGCCGGATAGTTGAGGAAAGCAAGAGACCCTTTCGTGAGCCCGTTTGACCCCATTAGAACGGCCGAGAGCTTTACATAAGTCTTCCATGGATTCACCATTTGCTTGGTGGTAAATCCTTGAAGGTAAATGAGCAGAATATAAACCCACCCTTGTACAAAGGTGAAGTACCAACCATAACTGTAATTGCAGAAAAAAAAAATTAAAAAAAAATCGAGCAACAAGTTTGAAACTAAATAAATTGGACCATCAAGAAAGTTCACATAAGCTGTAAAACGAATTTCACCTGAATTGGAGCCTATTGTATACATATTCCTGAAAACCACAAAGAACTTCTCAGATATGAAGCTTAATGAGAAAAGGAAAAAAGATAAACTTTCTCAACATAACGAATCCAAGAATTGCTGGCTAATGCTTCATGAAGATAACTATCCATCATCAATGATCAATCCATTGATTTATTTATCATATATGTATATACAAAATAGATAGCAAAAGTTAATTACATGATAATTATTTTCAGAGCCGAAGGTAGTAATCTGTAAATGGTGGGAGCCATTCATTTGGCTTGAACAGTCACTCACATAGGAAAAATATAGAAAATGAAACTAAAATATGCTATGATAATGCAACTCATATTTTCCAAACAAAAAAAAAAAAAAAGAAAAGAAAAAAGATGGGGTTAACAAAATCTTTGACCAGCTCTCTAATCATGCCAACAGAAATAACCTTGGCCCGACGAAATAAAGAAACTATTAATTGTAACCATAACCGGGTTACGGTTCATTCACCGGCTAAGAACAGCCAGTAGCCAGTTAATCGTTACAGTTTTGGATTTCCGGCCAACCTTCCGGCGGCTTGAAAAGGTCGATGGTTTTGTAATGGGAACATGTCTAACTTCATACCCTCTAAACAGTTGTTGAACCAAAAGGCTAACAAAATCAAATCAAAGCTGCAAATATTCAACCTTTTTCTCCTCTCTCTCCCCTTCACAAGCCAAAATCCCTCATAAAACAAAATACAGGAGAAAATGAACAAAAATTACCTCACAAACGCCATTAACAAGATAGCCAAAGAAAAACCCAGATGAACAAATCACAAACTGCTGCCATCTCGGCCTCTCAGACAATGAGATCCCAAACAGGGAACGCCCCTGTTCTTCACTCCTCATACCCTTTTTCTCTCTTTTTTCTCCTTATTTTCCAAGATTCCCCCTCTTTACTCCTCTCTCGGAAACCCCTCTTTAAGAAGCCCACAGTATGGGGAAA